GTGATTTGTGTGGTGTCGAATATTCGCGTGCATTGATTATAGAAGGACCTGGTTCTTCTATGTGTTCCTTATACTACTTTTGCAGAAATAGTAAATGCGGAAAGTAAAGAACACACCTATTTTTACATGGAAAATACCCGGCTCAAAAGGTAAAAAAATCGCGACCCACTTCTCAGGGATTTTTTCCAACACTTCACTAAATCATTGAGCCAAAACAACATTTACAAAACTCTTTGTAAACCTAAGGATTAACTCTAATCTCGTTGTGACAACCAACCTCTCACTGTTGCGATAACTTCAAGTTAACTCTAACTTAAATACTCAGATTACCTAATACAATTGCTTCGAGATAAACCTGAAAGGTACAACTTGAAAATACCTACTACAATTGAACTAGAATAAAAGACAGACGCTTGGAACTGGTTCTTCTATCTGGTTCATGTAGCTTCAGGTTCGCACACTTGATTCACATAAGAATTGTTTGCAAAATGCCTTGCTATTTTGCTCTCAACTCAGGTTTAACTTCAGTGTTTGTGTGTTCCTATAAAATGAGAACATCCTGCAATATATAGAGTTAGTAGAATGGGAAATAACTAGAGTTCTAATGCTACTCTTCCTTGGTGAAACAGTTCTAGTTATCTGCAACTTCTAACTCCTTCCTTATTTTGGATAAAGTTCTATTCGAGTAAGGAGTCCTTCTCCTTATCATTTATGCAAAATTTTCGATCAGGAGATATCAGTTATAACAACTTAAGCTTATCTCCTTCACGTGCATCCCTTATGCTCGAATTTGCCCGTGTCTGTGTACACTGTGTATGGACCTGGTTCATGCACAAGTTCCTCTGTAAATCATCAAAACAAAACTTCACTTGGACCAACATATGGATCACTATAGATTAGACATGAGGCAGATTCCAAACTTGAGGCACAAAATTGTAAAGAATCATTTTCTCCGGAATGCAATCACATAGCCTCACATAATAATGGATAGCAAGAATATCAAACCTAATTATGTAATACTTCCTTTTGGGAGTTAGCACTTATGACAAACCAATAAGAAACTCTTTTGGATCGTCCGTTATCTTATTTCTATGTTATGTATTACTCTTGGGAGGTTTTGGTTTTAAAAAAAAAAAGAAGAAGAAAGAAAGAAAAAATTAAAAAAATAAATAAATATATATATATAGAGTTTAAATTCTAAATTTGCATCTGGTTCTTATCTAAAACAAAGAAAATAATACTATTAATAGGATGCATGATTATCATGAAAAGAATAAAGTACGAGAACAAATATTCTTATATGAATTCTCTAAAAAAAAAAAAAGGATAAGAGGTAGGGCGCGAAATGTCGTCCCTTGCAAAACAGAAAACTATGATAATATGCGACCTCTCGGGGCAATAAGGGTTTTTTTTTTTACTGGGTGAGAATATATATAGGATGACAATAATAAGATCACTTGTTGAGAAATATGACAGAATACTAAATTCCTTTCTTGATCAAGTGATTTGCTTTATTCCAAAAAAGGAATTTGAACCAATTAAAGTTAGTCATGTATCAACCAAACTACAAGAAGCTTCCAAATTTCTTTTAGTACCTCGTCGTCCTTCTTGTCGGTATGTATATATTGTGGACTTGAATTCAACAGCACGTGTATGAGGATATATTCTGAAAAAAAGATTTCACTTTTCTCAAGTCTTCAAAATATTTGGTTGTATTGGAAAATATTATTCTAGCTGAATATCTTTGTTTTCCCTTTTGCATATACATTGTTTTCAAGGGGGAAATTGCAAAATATATTTTGTTCATGTCGAACACTAATTAAAAAAGAAAAGAGTTGCTACAAATGAATTTTCGTACAAAGTAGAGTTGACTATACATGACTGCTAAACACGGGCTGATCTAGGATTTTCCGTTATGAGTTTTGAACCTAGAGTTTTTTTTGTTTATTGGGTTATGGATAAATTATTTATACATATTAAATAAATTTTTTAAAACAAATACATATTAGATTTGGTTGAAAGCTACTTTGATCTAACCAACCCGTAACTTCAACTTTAGATGTGCTCCTGTCGCTAAACTATAGCTATACAACAATGTAGAAACCAGAAAAGTTATTCCTGAAAGTGAAAACTGCTTTAAACACACAACTTAGTACATTAACCAACCAATTTGGGAGGGGTTTTTAAAAATAAAAAATAAAAAAATAAAAAAACCAACCAAGAAAGAAAAAGACAAAGAAAGAAGCAAGAAAAAATGCCAAAAATCGAGTAATTAACAATCGAGTTGAACTTTAGCTAGTGATATATGATGACTTATATGTTTTGGGAATATTTTAAAGATGATGATTATATTCTTTTGACTTTCAGCTTGAGTATGTAATGATACTTTAGAATCAAGATAGATAAGGCATACACTATGCCCTTATCATACAAGTGATCAAGAACAATCCACCAATTCTTTTTAGCAATTACTTAACCAAAAAAAAAAACTTTTTAGCAATTCTCACTTTTTCTTTTAAAACTAACATACAACTCTGAGGCCTCTATATATAGCTTCATGTAAGATTCACGTTTCTCACAACAAATCAAGCCTGAAATTCACTTCACAAACCTTCACTATTTCTTGTACCCTTCACAACTTCTTTAATTTCCTCTTAACCAAAAGCTATATAAATCTTGGCATTTTGCCAATAAACTCATTATTTGTTGAACTTATAAACATGGATATGGTGATGAAGTTGGGAGCAGCAAGTCCAGTGGTGATATTCACCAAAAGTAGTTGTTGCATTTCTCATAGCATCGAAACCCTAATCCGTAATTTTGGAGCAAACCCTATAGTTTACGAGCTCGATAGACATCCAAATGGGAAGCAAATAGAGAAGGCGTTAATCGAACTAGGGTGTCAGCCAAGTGTGCCAGCAGTATTTATAGGGAATGAGTTTATTGGTGGTTCTAATGAGATCATGAGCCTTAATGTGAGGGGAAAGCTCAAGCACTTGCTTATAAGGGCTAATGCCATTTGGGTATAAAAATTAATGAATAGGTAGCAATTCTAGGTGTTTTGATAATAAATATCAACCACTTATACAGAGTATTATGATAGTATTAGATTATCTTCGGAAGGTTGTCTTTTCTCCCATTTTGTTTCTTGATCATGTATTAATAAAGTTAATGTTTTGTTCATAATCGTTTCTTTTGGCAATCTAGTGGCGATTTTGCTTTGTTCATAGCTGATGACATGAAAGAAGTTAATAACACTGAGTAACTTTATGTACTGCATTTTAATTTAAGGTATTACTAGTTACTAGAACTAATAGATCATATATTTCAGATTAAAATATTTGTTGGTATTCGGATAGATCTTCCTTCATCGTTAATTGCTGTCGAAAATTCCGAGTAATTTTAGTAGTGCATCCTCTTATTCAAATTCTTTTAGCAGGATACCACGTGGTGTTGGGATCGAAATAACATGGTACATGTAGAAGCTAATGATGCAAAGCTTGGTGGGCGATAAACCAGACGACAAATAAAAATATACTAAACTAGGCATAATAATTTATTATGGTTTTGGTCAATCGACATACATACGATTCATCACTAATATAAAAAGAGAAAATAAAATTTTTGAGAGAATAATCTCGCCTATACATGATTCTCATAAAAACTGCATTGTGCAGGTTGTTTTTATTGTGAGAAAAAAATATCAATTTATATAAGTACAAAAGTTCTCCTCCAAGAAAAAGCTTAAGGCATATGAAAGAGATTTATTTCTTTAAGTAATCTTTTTTCTTCCTTCGGGAATGAGAGTTCCTAATAGATTAAAAATTAATGGCAAAATCCTAACACATGGCACATAATGCAAGCTATTGCAAGACAATTTGGCCAGCACCCGGTGCCTCACCTATCCTTACGTACCAACTTGCGACTAAGGGATTCTGAACATATAATGTCATACTTTGGCCATGGGCCACATTGCAAGACAATTTGCGAAATAAAATATAAAACTGAATGGAAACCAACGCTGACTAAACATCAATATAAAGCTGGGCCGGCAAGGCCGTCATGACTACTACAGCTGACAAACCAACAAAATATAGATACAAGACCTACAAGCCCAACATACTGTACTAACTGACAGGTTATGTCTACAAGCCTCTACTGATGGATGTACCGTGATCTTAACAGGGCTCCGACCTACTCATAACCTATATACATATATACATAAGATGTACACAAAACTCCTAGACTCGACAACTCCAAAGGACGTGGAGCTTACCGATAAAGTTGAACTCGGGCAATACCTATTGAGGAGGTCTACCCGCCTGTCTGTCTGAACCTGGACGCATGAAATGCAGCGTCCCTAGAGAAAGGAATGTCAGAGTATGTACCGAGTATGTAAGGCAACAGAATAACTGAAAGCTTAAACCGAACTGATAATATAATAAATGAAAGTAACTAGGAGTCAAAGATAATCTGAAAATATGCTTACCTGTTGATACTGACTCAACTCTCTCAATATAGTAAGTAAAATAGTTGTCCGGCCCTATAAGGCTCGGTATATATATAACTGCTCTACCGTAGTAGGCTCGCTCAAAGGCGCTCGGCCATACTAGGCTCTGTATCTCGGCCAACTGGGCTCGCTAATAGGCGCTCGGCCATAGTAGGCTCGGTATATAACTTACTATCTGATCAGAGGTTGCCCAATAGGGGCCTGTCCATCGATTATAGCTCGATGGTAATGAAAATACTATAATACTGTATATATAGGCTCCCTGCTCTCTTGACTGGAAGAAGACAATACTCCAATTAAATATGAAGTCCCGATAAGGAGAATACTGTAATTTATGAGACTAGGATAATGTATATAAATTCGGGAGTATGAACTTCTCTTTATGCCTCGTTATCAAACACATCTAATTACGAGATCATGCCAAACTGAAGGAAGGGCTTAGGCTTAACATACCCGGAGTAAGAAAAAATCCGTATGATATTCTTGGAAAAGGTTTCACCGTACTCCCTTAGAATCACAAAATCTCACGTTGCTAAGGTGCTATGAAATCTTGTTGAAATCTCGGTGGTTTGAGGTTGCTAACGCTGGAATCCTTGTAGGAATTGGTTGAAGATGTTATGAATTCTCTTTATATATTCTTAACGTCTGTTTTGTAATCTTTGCAATATAGAAAAACATTATATGATTACTTACTTGAATATCTAAAGTCCAATTGAAGCCAAAATGCCAATCTTTGATGTCTTTACACGTAGAGGGATGTAATGTCTTGTATTTAACACTTTAGCTTGCCACCTTTCAGCTAGATCTATGAGTCACTTAACTT